GTTCCGTTGCGGCGTCAACACGAAGCACTTGGCGTGCCCCTTGCGTCTTCGGCCCGGATCCTCTTTCCAGAGGCCGCCCATATAGGCGCACGGAATGCGCCTACAGGAGTCCATGACTCTATGGTCTGGTTTAACCCATTGATTGCAAACAATGTCTCCCAGGTGCAAGCTATCAGTCGCATTCTACGACGATCCGCGGGCCTGGCGCCCTTTATTATCTTTGGACCGTAAGTTATATATTTACGGAGGGAATATATCCACTGATTTTTGCATGCTAGCCCCGGGACTGGCAAGACCGTGACGGTTGTCGAGGCCATACGGCAGTTACTTCATCGTGAATCCGCTTCCTGCATCCTTGCGTGCGCACCGAGCAACAGCGCTGCGGACCTCCTCGCTGAGCGACTCATGGACGAAGGCCGGGAGAAAGTTTTCCGGTACTATGCCGTCTCCCGCCCAAGGAACGCCGTACCCGACAAGTTCTTACCATTCACGTACATCAATGACCAAGGGTACTTCGCTGTCCCAGAGCTAGCCAAACTGGCGAGCTACCGGGTGATCGTCTCGACATGCGGCTCCTCATCATTTGCGCACGGTGTTGGGCTGCCGCCCGGTCATTTTAGCCATATTTTCGTGGACGAAGCAGGTCAAGCCACGGAGGCCGAAGTCATGACCGCTGTCCGGCCAATGGCGAACGCGATGACGCACATCGTACTTTCTGGCGATCCTAAGCAACTGGGTCCCATCATCCGATCGAGCGCGGCGCGAGACTTGGGGCTTGGGGTGTCGTATCTAGAGAGGCTGATGGACCGCGAGGCGTATAGTGGGCAGGTGGCTAGGGGAAGAGCGTACGTGCAGAAATGCATTACTAGTCTCCGATGTCGTGTTGCTGACTGGATACATAGGTACGTCAAGCTGGTCAGGAACTTCAGGTCCCACGGAGCCATACTAGACTTCCCGAACGAGAGGTTCTACGCGCACGAGCTACAAGTGTGCGGTTCGCCCTCGGTCATCAACTCTTTCGTCGGATGGCCACACCTGGTGTCACGCAAGTTCCCTGTCGTTTTCCATTCGATATCCGGCCAGGACGAGAGGGAGGCGTCGTCGCCATCATATTTCAATATTGATGAAGCCACCGTAGTGAAAGACTACGTTCAGAAGCTGAAGGCCGATGCCAGGTTCAGGATAGGTGCGTTGTGCCGTGCTACAATTCTGGTGCAAGTACTCTCACTGATGATCTTCTCAGCGGACGAAGAGATCGGCATCATCGCGCCGTACCGTGCGCAAGTGCGCAAGATCCGCATGGCGTTGTCCGGGTTCGCTCCGAACGTCAAGGTTGCGAGTGTTGAAGAGTTCCAGGGACAGGTTGGTGTGACCCCTGTATCACCCCCAAACAGTGCTGATGCGTGTATATTAGGAGCGCAGAGTCATCATCTTGTCTACCGTGCGGAGTACTCGCGACCTGCTTCAATACGACCAGCGTTTCACTCTGGGCTTCGTCGCAAACCCGCGAAGGTTCAACGGTGAGCTTCTCTCGTTACTTTCACGCGAGCAGTTCTTCACAGCCGTTTTACAGTCGCTATCACCCGCGCTAAAGCCCTGCTCATTGTCATCGGCAATGCGTCTGTGCTATCCACCGATCCTCTGTGGCGGAGGTTCTTGAATTACGTCAGTCTCAACAATGGATGGCGGGGAGAACCGATCTCGTGGGATCCTGCCGCACCTGTGCAAGACGACGCCGAGTATGCGAATGAGCTTCGTGAAGAAGGTTCCGCAAACGTGGCCGCTTTCTTGCAGCGCGTACAGATGTTTTCAGATGATACTGGGGATGATCTTGAGAGCGGGGCCAATATGGAGATGGCCTTCGTTGAGCCGGAGTAAGATTCGGACATGGGGATGGCACACACCATGAATGTACTTCTTATTTAATACAACGACATGCCACATATGTCATATACTCTACCAGTGTCCACAAGCATCTTCAATGTTGATCCTACCACCGGCTGTCTTGACCCGTGACGACATGCCGCTGTTGAGTTCAGTGCTGACCAGAGTATGCGAACAGGGGGCATTGATGGGCACACTACAAATGTCATGGACTTCTTACATACTAATTAAACGCTACATGTATCTCATAGCCTGTGGGTGTCCACATGCATGTTAGACAGCGCTGCGAACATAGACATGATGTACGAAAGCAAGTATCGCTGATTAACGAATGTAAGTACAGAAAGACTTCCTAGAGATCAGCAATCATGTAGGGATGATACAAGATGAGGTTGGTCGTCAGTGTCGTGATATGTCCATGAGACCGCTCTCGCCAGCTCAAACATCTTCCAACGGGTATAACGCCTCCTCCTCCATCTCCTCTTCCATCGCTTGGCGGCCGGCGTCCGTCAATTTGGGTATGCCGGACTCTAGGTCGCTTTCAAAGTAACTAGGTACGAACCTGGACGACATTTGTTAGCAGAGGGTTTATGAGGGCGGCCAAACGTCGACTTACTGCTCGCCCTTCCGCTTCCGCTCCGCCGCATCGTCCCGCTGACGCTGCTCGATAGCGAGCTTATGCTTCGTCGCCTCACTGTACTCCTTCGACATCAAGTTGTTCGTCACATTCTCCCACAACTTGCGGCTCTCCGTCGGGTGCTGCTTCTCCAGTGGGCGCACGGCCTTCGGGATGCTGCATAGCGTCGATAGGTCGATGAGGGTCGCGTGTTCCGTGCTCGGCGAGTCTACGCGCTTCCACCGAATGCGGTGCTTCCACGAGCCGTCGAGGGTCGCGAGTACCCGCTCGCGCGGGACGTGCTTCACCCGCGTCCAGTCCTGGTGCTCCGTGCTGCCCGGTGTATATGTGTGTATGACGCCCTCGACGAGGAAATGTGCTCTGCCGAGCCACGACTCCTCCTTATACTCGATCACCGCTCGTAGCTTCTCCCCATCCGCCCCGCCGCTGCACTCGATGATCGTCGCTTCGCTCATCGTGATGTAGAAGCTCCCGCGCAGGATCCCGTTCACCGACCCAACGGGGTGCGTGATGCGGTACGTCTCGCCCTTCCCTGGCCCGTCAGTCAGCCGCACAAAGATGCCCTTGTTGTACGATCCTGGCACGATGCGAATCGTCGTCCCCGACACCTTCGCCGAGATCTGGTCGATGCCCATTAGCTCTGCGCCCCGGCTTGGGCACGCCGCGTAGAACGCCGATACCGGCGGGTGGTGCGACACCTGCTCCGTCAGGAACACGACGCGTACACGCCGCCTACCCTCCGCTTGCGGCGTATCATCCCCTTCCACCAGCTCCGCGTTCTCCTCGCTCAGATTTAGGTCCGAGATCCCCGCCTCCAGGATTGTCTCAGGCAACCCCGGAGACGTCGCCGGGGTGCTCTTGCCAGGCGTTGACGTGCCCCGCGAGAGTGTGCTGAGCCCGCTGATCGCGCTCTTCCCGCTCTTGGTGCTACGGCCGCTCAAGCTGGCTGTCTCTGACGCAGAGACGCGCGGAGTCTGTAATGGGGTCGGCGCCAACGACGAGTTCGTCGACTCTGGTGCTGGCGTAGTGAGGTAGAGGTGTTGTATAGGAGGCTCGTTTGGGTCAGATGGGTACTCGACGGGGATGACATCCCAATGTGCCCGGAAGTGCTCGCCGAGGACAGAGTTGTATGGCTTGCAAACTTTGCCCCGCTATAGAAAGAGGATGTCAGAACGAGTTTGCGGTCTGAGAACCCGATTGCAGTATGTCCCATCTATGTAAGGGCAGGTTCTTGGATGCACCGGTCCCTCTGGACTACTGAAGCGCACGACACAGGCCATTGTACATGGATTCTGAGGCAGTCTATCGACGGTCATTCCCATCGCCTCTCCAGACGCCTTCGGCGTCCGGACGGAGGCCGGTTGCCCGGTAGCAACCTGAAGGTTGACCTCGTAAGAAGCAAGCGACCAAAGAGAGGTCCAGCGTGCAGACTATACGCAGAAGAGATTTGCAACGCGGCGGAGGCCGCAAAGCCGAGACTTAGCAGCAAGCGTTGCGACTTGAGCTTGAGCGGCCATGCCAACGGACCAGTTGCCGCCCTCGAAAGTGTATATCTACTGTAACCGGCTCAGCGGCCTCGTGAAGAGACCCTGAACGCGAATACAGCCTGCTTCGAGAAGCAAGAAGGGTCCATGCGCAGTACACGTGAAGAGTAGCCACTCACAATGAACTTGAGATCCTTAGAAAACGCGAAGCGGAGGGCGGCCAGCATGCGCTCGAACGGATCGTCCGAGTCATTGATACTGTCTTGAGTCAATACCGCGACATGGCTGATGATCAGCAACGATGATACTCACGCTGCAAACAGATCTGGACGGTCAAGGTAATGCCAATATTCGAGGTTCGGGATGGGTTCAAGCAACGATGCCGGAAGAGATAACCGCCTTCTCTGGTATCAGAGAGATGGTATAGAACAAGGTATGCTTGCCACGTACATCGACGCGATGTCCTTCACACCAACGACCTTCTTGACCAACGATACAATCATCTTGAGCTTGCCGCTCTCACCGGCCTCGCCAGTGTCGGGGACAGAAACCGGCTTAGAGTCGTCTTCATACTGTGTAGCATCTACCTGGGACATGATAGAGCAAAGATAAAGTAGAGGGAAACGGATGAGAACAAAGTAGAGCACTGCCGCTGCAGAGCCTGTGCCACCCTTCCGACAGCGTCCTAATATTGGGCTGAATTACGTAATATTACGTATTCGAAGGTAGCTGAGGCCTTATTCTCAGACATTCTCAATATCCAAAAGGTAAAGGCCATCATCAGAAAGTTGGGACGGCCGGTGCAAACAACGAGTACGCACCGAGTACGCATGAGAATGTGCGGGGGTTGTAGGGTGCAAGGATGCGAATCGCCGTCGACTGTGAATTGAAAGAACAGGCCCCCGCTGAGACGGAGAAGGTAAAGTCGACTTCTTGGATGATTGTAAGGTCTGCTCCGTCGCAACAAGTCGGGAAAATACATCACAGCAAAACAATGACTCAAGCCGGGATCGAACCGGCGGCCACCTGTGTCCCTTGTAAGACAGGGGTGATAACCACTACACCATTGAGCCGATAAAAGCAGATTTGATGACAGTGCTATAGCTAATCATGGCTGCTGCCCTATACCGCACTGAGTGTCTATCGGCGGTGCTACGTCTCCTGGTCAACCTCACCCCCTTGGCGCGATGCATAGTCCAATGACACCGCCATGTGTCATTGCGTGAGTTACTTTATATATGGAACAATGTCATCACCATGCTCACACTTCCAAGAATGATATGTGATTTCTTCCACCCTAATGTCGGTGGTGTTGAGAGTCACATCTATATGCTAAGTGCCAACCTCATCAAACGAGGACATAGGGTATGCGTAGCCCCTTCGTGACCCGCTTCATGCTCATGATCGTCAATAGGTGATAGTCATCACGCATAACCACCCTCCGGACCGTGTTGGCATCCGCTGGCTCCTCCCTGGATTAAAGGTGTACCATATACCTTTCCCAACAATTGCATCGTCCGCCACTCTTCCCAACTTCCTCACCTTCCTTCCGTACTTTCGTTCTATCATATTGCGGGAAGGTGTAGAGCTCGTGCACGCGCACGCCAGTCTTTCCTCCCTTGCACATGAAGGGATACTACATGCGCACCATCTTGGGGTGCGAACCATATTCACCGATCATAGTTTGTTTGGGTTCGAGGATGCTGCAAGCATTCTAACGAATAAGCTGCTGGAAGCTGCCCTCAGAAACGTTGACGCCGCGATCTGCGTGTCACATACAGGGTACGTACCATCTTATATACCGCAGAGACATGAAATGACACCATCCAGTCGAGAGAATACTGTATTACGCGCTAGGCTACCCCCGGAGTCGGTCTACGTTATCCCAAATGCTCTAGTTGCCGATCAGTTCATACCTGACTTGACTCCGAAGAGCATGAGCGAAGGTCGAACGTCGCATTTCTTCTCTTTTCTCACACTGATGCATTGCTATTGACAGTGACCATAGTTGTCATATCTCGCTTGGCCTATCGCAAAGGGATAGACTTGCTCGTAGCAACAGCACCGCGTATATGCAAGATATTTCCCAACGTCCGGTTCGTTGTGGGTATGTACGTGTCGCGCCGATGCAGGCATGGAGTCTCAAACTTTGACAGGAGGAGATGGTCCGAAAATGATTGACCTCCTTCAAATGAGGGAGAAATACATGTTGCAGGACAGAATAGAGATTCTGGGTCCTGTTCGTCACAATGATGTCCGAGATGTCAGTTAGTCTGCTCCGGGTTTCGAGTGAAGGCTGACTCGCTTCTGAATCAGGTGCTAATTCGTGGATCAATCTTCCTCAATACGTCGCTAACGGAGTCATTTGGCATCGCAATCCTTGAGGCAGCCTGCGCTGGGCTCTACGTAGTCGCGACTCGGGTAGGCGGCGTTCCGGAGATCCTCCCCGAAGACATGATCTCTTTCGCCAACCCAGATGAAGACGGTGTGTTTTTTCTTGCGTATCGCACTCATTCCTGTCTAAGCACACATTTAGATGTCGTGCGAGCGATGACAGAGGCGATCGACATCGTTTCCAACGGCCAACACGACCCAGTCCACGCACATGACCGCGTGAAGGAATTCTATGACTGGATGAGCGTCGCAGAACGTACAGAGCGAGTGTACGGCAATGTTCGACACACGCGCCCACGCTCCTTTTGGGTCCGCCTGCAGCGGTCGGTATTCACTACACCTGCCCTTTATGCAATCTTACTAACGACTTCTCCAGGACGCTGGAACTGGGGCGCTTCGCGGGGCCTATATTTGCAATCATACTCCTTGTCGACTGCCTCTTTTTCGCATTCCTGGAGTGGTGGATACCTGTCGATACTATAGACAAAGTGGAGATGCACTGGAGCCAGCAGCGCTTCGCAGAGGTACGACAGTATCGTGGTCGGGAGAAATTCTGAAAGATATTGACTATCAAGGCGCTATTGACAGCTCGCCGAAGAAGTCTCGGAGCGCGAGAAGGCAGAAGGAGGCCCTGGAAGCCTTTTGCACGCCAGCAACTGAGAAACATAATCTGTATTGTATCTTGCACTCGTCTATCGCACTGCTCTTTATCACCGCTGCTGATCACTCGGAAGCCTTTCCCTATATACCTTATCACCGGTAGACACTTGGTGGGTGTAGACCCCCGGCTTATCAGAGCGGCAAATCTGGGAGAGCCTCGCTCAAGCCATCAAAGAACCGCGCGGACCCAAGGGGCCATGCGCACCTACTGTTCAATTCAGGGACTTTATATCAAACACTAATGGTAAGTACGCGCTGACTCGATTTCCTGCTTACGGGAGGAAGAGGGACGGTCGGGGCCATTCCCGCTTATTCGCCTCTTCCTCTTGACATCGATCGTGACTCCCGAGGTGCGTTTCTTTACGGCAACTTCTTTCACTTCGCACTGCTGAGAAGTCTGTGTGTGTGTGTGCTAGATGGAGACTGTTAAAGACGAGTCGTCCGAGCTCAGTGTCCCAGAACTCATTGTCGTCAAAGAGCCGACACCGCCTTCCCCGCCGGTAGTCCATGGGCCTTTGCAGAGGTTCACCCATCTGTTGACGCGTTGGGGCGTCGAGACCAATGGGTATGACTCACTGATCGATACGGCCTAGAACTCATCACTCATGTTTTGATTCGCAGCATCGATCCAATCCCTCCGTCTGAGAGAAAGGATGACAGGCTGTATCAATTGTTTTTCGTATGGTTCACAGCGAACATGAACGTTCTGGCGTAAGTGAACCTTATTGGCGTTTCCTACGCTCAGGGCGCTGAAACTCCAAGATGATGCTTAGCTTCGGGACAGGTTCGGTAGGACCCGCATTCTATGGCTTCGGCGTGAAGGAGTCTCTGATCATACTCTTGATCGTCGATGTGATGTGAGTTGATTCAACCACTCCTGATGCCTGTCGGTTGACATGGTGGACGCAGATCTTGTACGATCCCTGCGTACTTGTGCGTTACCCAGATTCGATTAGACTGTCATGTGGTCAACCGATATCTAACTACAGCACTGTCTTCGGGCCGAAGCTTGGGATGCGTTCCATGGTTCAAGCACGCTATACCTGGGGGTATGTCACGCAACTCATTTCTCTTCCCAACGAGCTGATCAAAATGCAGCTACTACGGGGCTATGCTTCCCAGCGCACTCAACGTGTTCTCAATGGAAGGGTTCCTCATACTGAACACTATCATCGGTGGTCAAATGCTTGCAAGTGTATCTGACGGGCATCTGAATGACACCCTCGGGATTGTGATCATTGCTATCATATCGCTCCTGGTAGACCTTCACATTGCATACGCGTATCTGGTATTCTGCTAACGTAGGCTAGGTTTCGTTTTGTGGCTATAGGGTCATTCATTGGTTTGCATCATTGCCTCTACTTACATTGCTAATGACTGATCTATTCATTCAGGTATGAGAGCGTCGCATGGATACCGAACGTCATCGCCTTCATTATCATGTTGGGACTTGGGGGTAAACATCTCTACGATGCCCCCGCTTCCGGGCCCATCACTGTGTCCTCCGTTATTACCTTTGCCACTGTAACAGCCTCTAGTGTCATCAGTTGGTGCCCCATGACTCCAGACTACGGAGTATACCACTCAGCAAACGTATCCTCGTATGTATACTAGATCCTCGTGAGATGCTTACACCGTGCTGACGATTATTTGCCTTGTACAGTTGTCGCGTGTTCCTGTACGCCTATGCGGGCTTTTTGGTCGCCAGTGTACGCTTCAACCTCGCAAGTCGTGAAATTGCAACCGGAAGCTCACGTCATTCGTCTAGATCACAGGCCATATGCTAGGTGCTACGTTCGCGGCGGTGGCGCTCTCCGGCACGACCCCAGCGTGGCAGTCGGGGTTCGACAGCGGGAACAACGTTGGCGGGCTGTTCGAGGCTGTGCTTTCCCCCGCGGGAGGCTTCGGCAAGTTCATGACCGCCCTCTGCGCTCTCACAATTCCGAGCGCCTGCGCCCCCACCATGTACACCTTCTCGTCGAGCCTGATGACGATCAGCTACTACTTTGCAAGGGTACCGCGATATGTGTATGCCCTCATTTCCGCAGCAATGTGAGTATCGCCTCGGCTCGTCACTTGTGGACGCTCATCAACGCATTCGCTCCGTCTCTAGCTTAGTTGGCGTGGGCATCGTCTGCGCAACACGGTTTTACACGACATTTACCGACATCATGAGTACGTGCTTCTCTACTTTCATTGAGCAACCCCCCTTACATCATGCTTGTCCAGGCCTCATTGGATACTGGAGCGTCGTCCATGGCGTCATGGTTCTCATCGAACATTTCGTCTTCCGCAAAAATGACTTTGCACTGTACGACCTCACCGCCTGGAACACGCCGCGAAGACTACCTCTTGGCGCCGCCGCCATTGTTGCCTTTCTTTGTGCCTTCGGGATCATCATTCCTTGTATGGACCAAGCATGGTATGTTGGGCCAATTGCTAAGGCAGGGAGCGGAGACATAGGCATTCTTGTAGGCAGTTGCGTCATTGGCATTCTATACCCGTGTTTCCGAATTATCGAGCGGACTTACTGGAAGGCGTAGGGTACGATACTCAGACTGTGGCTAGTTTCCAAACTCGCGAAAAAAAACATCACTCTGTTGTTTGATACTCCTCTTATCAGCAACGCTATGCATGATCTTTACGTCAGTTGTTCTGCGCAGGATGCAGAGGAAGTGTCTCTCTCTTCCAAAGCGAACGCTCCCAGGTTAGCTAAAAGTAGATGAGGTGACTCTGTTACGGAAGCGTGGGTCACTGGCATGCTGACTCTTGAATTGGCAAAGGCCGTTCGAGATTGAACCTTTGTGCTGCGAGGTGAATCCGCTGTTCTCCTTGAGACATATGCCGAAGACATACCCTGGGTCTGGAGGTTCAATTCAGAGCAATGTACCTGTGACACACGGTGGCAGTGATTCTGCCCATAGTGGGCTCGATCAGTGGACAGATGTCAGAAGACCTACCAGCCTACCCACGCGATATGGGGCTCACACAGGACAGGAGTGATGAATCTCGTCCAGCC